CAAAGCGATTTGAGGTGATTTTTAACTACTTGAGGTTTGTTTTTTACTTATTCAATGAGGGGTGACTGGGTGGGACGCGAGTATTATTTTTTTCTTATTTCTCGGGGGCATCATCATTAAATACACCAAAATCATTACTACAGTATCATCATTACCGTTCTCAACACAATCGCTTGCCTCATCAAAATCATCCTCATTTTTAAAAATAGAGGAAGGGGTGCCACTGTATAAATATACTTTTTTGGGTGGGGGGAAGAGAGGGCATGTAACAACATTATCATTAAATATATCAAATCATTAACACCATCATTACTATAATCATCATCAATAAAATCTTGATTTAAAGTCTTATAATCATCATCAACATTAGCAGCATTATTACCATCATCATCCTCCTCACTACAATCTTACCATGACCATGACAATCACCAACATCATTAATCAATCATTTTCATCAGCATCATCATGAAATGTCTCATATTATCATTCCATCCTCATAACACACCGACAATAATATCAACAGATATTTACAGATATTTCATCAAAAGTATGAATTATAAAAAATTAGCTGACAAAATTGCCTACTCTTGTTGCTCGAACTTAGTTCAAGGGGAAAGACCAAAATGTCATCTTCATGATCACAAAATAATTTCACCATACTTAAGGTCTCTGAAAATTAAAGTTATTTTCCAAAAGTAGACTCAGCAAGTGAGGTGTTTTCAACGTACACTTACCAGTTTTTCTTGCATAGGACTCCACAAAATACAGACTCTGCACACCCTCCTTAGACTCCCTATCCAGACTCGACATGCTAGAGCTGCGTGACTGAGTAAATGAACTCTCACTTCGATCTGCTGAAACGAGCGGAAAACAAGAGGAAAGAAAAAAAACCACATTTGATTAAAATATCTATAATCATACAATCCAAGAATATAAGCAATAATAATAGATATTAAACTCTGTCCACACTGTCACATTTATTTGTCACGTAAAGTTTGATATTGTGGAACTTTAAAAGCCCTTTCACACTATCAAAAATTCTATTTTGGCAAGAACATGCAACATGCCTATATATGGTCATGATGACATCACATCATGACCATATATAGGCACATCATGACTTTAAACAGACAACAGTTTTTGATAGTGTAGACAAAGGTTTAGGACCCTAAGGAAGTTTTTACAACACCTATTTACATTCGTGCCATTTGATTGGTTGATTATAGTTCATTTCAAATTAAATAATAAGAAAGTATGGTGCATAACTGATGCTGCTTCTAGTCAATTTATTTTCCAATTCGCAAAGTAATTTTATTTCTAAAAAATATGCTGTTAACATAAGAAAATTTAGGTAGACTGCAAATTACAATCTTCGACAACTTAATCCAAAACGATGTAGCTGATTTGGGAACATTATTTAACAAATGACAAGGATCTTCATAGGTGTCATATAAAACAAACTAACAGATATTTCTTATTTGTACACTATAATAATTTTTTTCAAGTCTTGTAAAAGATGGAATGTTCCATTGAACTCAGCTACTCTGTTTAATGGAACATTCCATCTTTCACAACATAAACAATATTCTATACCATTGCATTTATTATTTTGTTTACTGTGTAAATAGTTGAAGCACTAGTCTCAGAACATGTACCCATATTTTTTGTTGGCTCACATTTAAACTATTTAATCCTTTTATGTCTTTCCCACAGGCAGCCAGTAATCTAAGATATAAAGAGACTGCAGCTTAGCTCAGTCGGCTAATCTGGTGGTAGCCACTGTGTGTGCACTGAACTGTGGAGATCTCTAGGTCCCCGGTTCAATTCCCATCGCTGCCTCTCCTTGTGTTTCAGCTGGAGGCCTGAAATACAATTTGCAATAGCGCACTGTCTTTTGGATGAGACGGCTTACGTTTAAGCCGTTGGTCACATGTGCATTATGGCCCATGTGCAAGTTAAAGAACGCAGTACACTCTTCGGAAAAGGGTAGGGGATTGTCTCCCGGTGTACTGCCCAATCACAACCACAAGGACCCCACTGATGTAAGTCTTTTTCTAGACTTTTGTGGGCTATCCTTGGTATTTACACCGAATAAATTATATAAATTAGAACCAATTGTAAAAGTCAGGTTGTGAGGAATATGCTTTAACTTTAAAAAGCTTACACCTGATAAAGACGGCTTAGATTTAACGCTACAGTGCCAAAAGTCACGTCATTACTATCAAACTTTATTTGACAAAAACATGTGACATGCCTAAATATGGTCATGTGATGAATCACATCATGACCATATATAGGCACATCATGACCATATATAGGCACATCATGTCTATATAAGGGTATACAACAGTTTTTTTTGTCAAAGAAAATTTGATAATCTGGACAAAGCTTTAAAATGCATTATAATAACTCATGAATATTTATTATATATAGAACCTTTTCAAATTGGTATTTTGCCTACGTTCCTTGTATACATATTTACGCAGGTCAAGGAACAAAATACCACCTGAAATTGAAAATGTCTGAGCCTATCTACATTGTTATTGGTAAAATATTCATGAGGTATAGCAAAACAAATGCATCATGGTATTATTCAAAATCCTATCTTGCAAGATGTTGGATGATTGAGACTGCTGCGCAGTGGTGGTGCCAGTGGGGGCAGGGGGTTTAAGCCCCCCCCCCCAATTGAACAAGTCATGTCCCCTCATCGGGTAGTCAGACCAAAGAAAATTTTAAAATAGGCCTACACCAAGCCAAAGAGTGCCATTTCTAGCCATCCAAAGGTCCCTATTAAAAAAAAAAATCTCACTTGGAAGGGGGAACCCCCTTCCAAACTCTCCTCCTCCTCGGGCATACAAGCTCAAGCCCCCCTCCTGTCGAGGGATGGATCCAGTAGGGGGGAGCACATGCCTCCCGTTTTGCCACTGAATTTTTAAATTTCAAGGCATATATTGAAATTAGTGCTCCCATTTTCTATTCTGAATATGTTGTGACCCCCCCGTTTGAAAAATTCTGGATCTGCCCCTGCTGTCAGACAACTTAGTGTTAGTCCCAATCATCCAGCAACTTCTCCTCAAACCAGGTTAAATCTGTATATAAAAAAGTTTAAATACCTAATGTACATTGGCAAATAGGCATGCACCAATGTTGTACACTTTATATATTGTTAATACACATTTTCAAAGTTAGATAAGTTAAACGTTTTAGTGCACCAAATTAGTACTGGTTAAGTGATTGCTGGTTATTAAAAATGAACAGAAATTTACTGTATTCAAAACACATAAAAATACTAAATCAGAGATTAATTGTAGATAAAAATATCTAAAATCAGTTAAAGGGTTTGTTTCAATCTTTTAAACTGTTTATGTTCTTTTACTTCCAAATATAAAAATCTATAATGTACCAGAAACCTTTGTTCAATATTTCTGTGATACAACAGACCTAAATATTTATATCTGCATATTTAAAAAAAAAAAAAAAAATGGACATATGTACATATAATGAACAGAGTAGTGTACTTAATTAAACAATTCTAAACTACTGTTTGGAATATTAGTTAAAAATTTATTGAACATTTCTAAAACTTATAGAAACTGAAAAATATTGAAATATTTTTTTCTATGAAAGTTCAAGAACTTAATATTTCAATAGTTTTTTTTTATATTGTTAAATATATAAATTAATAAGGATGCAACAGTTAAACAAATGCATGTCAAGAACTAACAATCCATGTCTTTGTTCATAGAATCAACCACATGCAGAAAGTATGTATTCCGGGTTCAAAACAGAGATACACAAACATCAGCATTCTGATCAAAAATCAGGCTATGAATTCAAATTATTATTTTTTTTTTTTTTTTTTTTTTTTTTTTTTTTAAATAAAATCTCATCACAGAAATATTGAACACGATTCCTTACATGCATGGCAAGAAAACAGGAACAATTCCTAAATGGGATCACCAAGGAAACGATTGCTCGAACAAGAAGCAGACGATATTGCATGTACTGTTATACACATGCACTTCAAGGTTAGATGGAGTTCACTTAAAAATATCTCAAAGTGTAGGATTATCATTATCATAAGATTTAAAGTTTTCATACATGGATTTCAATTTCCCAAAAATAAAAAATCCATATAAATATTACAGTATATTATATTTCCTTTGGTGTAAAGTCAATATATTCTTTGATATGTAACTTAATTATGAGAAATATATGCCAATGTAACTTTATCATAATTTTGCAATGTAAATTCAGTATGATTTGGCATTTAGGGTCGTTAATTGTGAAAAAATTGTTAATAAATTATTCAAAAAGAAAGAAGATAAATTAGATGAAATTGTTAGTAAGTTATTTCTAACTTGATGTGCCGTGATTTTTAGTACAGCCAATATCATTGGACCACAGAGGTAGAAGCGACGCAAACATAGTACCGCAGACCAATGAGGAGTAGAATTCCATAAGTTGTTACCAGTCAATGCAATAACTGGATCAAAGCTATAATCAGTAGCATACAGTGAAAAGCCGAAGACTGTGAGGATAATATAGACACTAAGGTGCTGATAAGGTAGATTCCGATTAACACAGAGTGCATGGAATTAAGGTCCCTTCAGTTATGCTAATTATCTTCATTAATCAAATTAAGAAATCAAGATGAGTGAAGAAAAAAATTAATGAAAAGCCAAAACATCTTGATAAAAAAATGTTTTGAAGAAGGAGGCAGAAGTTTTAGCAAAGATGAAGGCGTAATTTAATGTAAATGTGCGAAAAATGGTACTTGTATGATAAAAGCAAAGTATAAATGAAGAAAAAATAAATAAAATGAACAAACATAAACTAGACATTTAGGCAATTAACAGATTTCATAACAGCAACAGAAACATTTCAGTTATGAAACAGATAAAAGAATTATATACATCAAAATCATGATTTAAATTCAAACCATGCTTAGAAATTTTAGAACTGATAATTGTCAAAAATTGTTTTCTTTAATTATTAATTATGTCTACTTAACTGAAATTGGCTAACTGGTTATGCTACTTCATTTGAACATAATATATTTATAATCGGTGAAAAGAGCGGTAGCAATTTTAATATACTTTATTGAGCACATGTTTTCATTCAGGCAGTGATTTTTAGGTAACTGTGTATATATTTAGTTGTATTAACATTCTAAATAAGGTTTATATCTTTATTATTTTAATACTATATAATTACAATTTATCTTCAAATAAGCATATATATCAACACTTATTAATGGAGCCCCTTTGAGAATTATATTTCTGATTTGGCACAAATAAATATATTTTATTATTATTTTTGGGACCTTTAATAAAATTCAATGTCATTGATGAAGTCATTATGTATAATTTCTGTTTCTTGACGTACAAACACCAATATGCTGTTTGTCGTCTACGTTGGTCTGGTCGGTGTGAAGCAACTACATATTATAATGACCTTTGGTCGCTAATTTATGTATGTTGATGGAGTCCAAGGCGGATTAAAAAAATTTTATATTGGGTGACATGCGAATATCCTCGTCTAAGCAGTTCCATCCGAAATTATGTATAAAGTGTTTTAATTGAAAATAATCAGCTTTTTACAATAACTTAATTATTATATTAATATTATTATTTACTTGTTACTCCTTAATAAAAACAATAGTGTACATTATAATGCACAAGTATCCATCAAAGATGCTCAGAAGACTAGAGAGTTATTAACAGTTGGTTATTTTAAAAGTTCCTTATATTCAGTTAATTTAATAATTAAAATAATGTTGACCTGTAATTTAAACTTCAAATTGTAGGGTAATTAAAAAGGTAAACGAACAATCAGCAACCCACCAACCAAATATTATATTACGTTTATGATAACTAAGAATGAATATTCAGTAACTAAATCTAAGGAAGAACCTTATATATCATTTTTTATGAACAAAATTATAAAATTTTAAAAATCTACGAAAGTTATCACAATGAGAACAAAATTCACATAAATTACAAACTGAATGATACAAGATTAAAAATGAATGAAAAACAAATGATAAATACATATAAATATATATGAAATGATGATTGTCTTTTGCATGCATGAAAGGGAATGAATCTCATGGAATGACTTAGTAATAATGAAGCTAGAATGTAATATGTGCATCTATATGATAATCAATGATTTAATAATTAATAATATTATTATTATTATTATTATTATTATTATTAATATTATTATTATTACTAGTACAATAATTAATGTGTATTTTGGCATTTGAACTATTTAAGTCCAGATATATAATTAGACAAAAATAGTATTATTATTAATAAATATTCCAATTTAATCAAAATATAACTTTCTTTGTAACTATTTGTTAAGTTCAGTTAGTATAATTAGACAAAAATTGTATTATTATTATTAATATTCCAATTTAATCAAAATATAACTTTCTTTGTAAATTATTAAACATTAATTTTGTTAGAAAATATATGCATAATAGATAAAGATTCCAATATTAGTTATATTATAGTTAATCTTAAAAATGCTAAATTAAAAATATAATTCTGGTAAATATTTGTTAAACATACATTACTTGTTAAAAATAATTAAGTTATAAATAAGCTACACTTAATAATAGGTAGAATTTATTACACTTATGATGTCATATGGCATTATATACTTATAATACATCTTATAAATAATAGAATTATCAACAATATTAAATAAATAACATTCTTCGAAAATTATTTGTGTTAATTTAAATAATCAAATTAATAATAACAATATTAATCTATGTAACATTTACAGTCATATTTTGTATTGGTTAATACCAAATGTGTATATTTAATGGCAATTGTTACAAAAAATAACATTCTTTGAAAATTATTAGATATCAATTTAAATCATGAAATTAATAATAATAATATTTATCTACTGTATGTAACATTTACAATGATATTTTGTATTGGGCAATACCAAATGTGTATATTTTATGACAATTGTTTCTATCTCATTAGAAAAGTAGAGAAGTTTCGCTCTATGTACGTTCAGTTAGAACAATGTGTCTGTGGGAACTATGTACAAATTACATCAGACTTGGACACAGAAACTATGTCTGAAATGTAAACATACCCATAGCAAAATTTATCACCAATTTTAACATGATAAATTCCCTCTTTAGGCTAAGTAATTTTTAATCCAATCCAATCCAATTCAATCTTTGACTTATTTCACCAATTTGGTGTTTTAATGTATGACCAACTTTTATAAGTAGCAAAATATAGCCTGCAGATTGGTTAAAATGTTCACAGAAATTGATGATGTCAGCCCATATTCTATTTACATCCACACATTTTATTGTAAGTAGCGAAGCCTCTCTTGTGATCAGTAGATAGAAACTTGTGATCAAAGTGGGATGTACCATTTTGTTTGAGGTGATTGTACAATGGAATGTACCATTTTGTTTGAGGTGATTGTGCACATGGCTGAAATGTGTGAAATGTTCTGGATGTGTTTCCTTCTCTTTCAAGACAGAAATGTCATGCATTGGCAATGAAGTGTATTTGCCAAAACATAAAGCAAAAAATAACGCGTTTCATTTCGAACATAATAATTGGATGAAAAAAAGGGAAAAATGAGAAATGAAGATAATTGGACAAAACTGGAGGGCAAGACCTTGACTTCCAAAAAAGGAAAATGTACTCCGTGACTGACTTAACAGGCCGCTAAATATTCCTCCTCCACCACCGCCTCCACTGCTATCGGCACCATCCTTATCTTTATCCCCATTAGCTCCTGCATCACATGGATTAGACTGAGTTTTCGTGACTCTGCGTGATGTTTGGGACTTACTCCTAGTTAGTTTGCCATCAGTCACCGATTTCATCTTCTTAGCGTTGTTACCCGTCGGACTGACGCAAATTCCATTTGGCTAAAGCAAACAGAAAAAAAATATGTTTTTAAAATTTCTCTTCTAATTTGTATCATACAATGGTAAGTGAATTGGAGGTGATTTGATCTTATTCAAATAAAAAAAAAATTCTGACAAAACAAGTTCAATACAAAAAAATTATTCAAATTATATGTTCAGAAAAACAAATTTAAAATCCTGGAAACTATTAAATTGTAAGATGGCTTATCCACACTAAGGTCCAACTACATTCTAACTTGCGAGGCTAAATTTCATCCACATTTAGAAATGCAACTCTAGGAATGGAGGAGTTGCATATTTTGTATGATTAAATCAAATAAATATGGTTCTTGCATAAATTTTATAGCATTCACAAGCAGTCAGCCATATGAAATTCAGAGGAGTCAACTTCCAAACGAAGAAACGGCTTAAATGACAAGCTTCCGAACGGTATTTCAGAGAAACGTTTGGAGAGCTTGTCAAATAACAATAGAAAACGTGTTTGACACGTTTCTGTCGGGGATAATTTGTAGATTGGCTAAAAATCTTTTCGGCATGTAAATTCAACTTAACAAAATTTGTATTAAATGTTTGGATATTTATACGTAAATAAATTTTTTGTCTTAAATGAATTCTGACCTGTTCGGCCGCAGCAGTCGCCCCTGAAGCTTGTCTAGACCGTTCGTTGTCCGTCAATTGTTCAACAATATCTCCTAGACTCTGCGGAACTTTGGGTTTCTTCGGTGACCTAGGGGTGCGTTGGTACGGGTCAGCCGACCCATACAGATTAGGGGTACCCATGTGTAACAAGCATGTTTTTTGTATGTAATCCACAATGACCAGGCCGTTAACTGTACCAAAAGCAACTCTACAAACACAAAACATAAATTTGGTTATCATATATCAGTATTATATGTTTTAATAAGATACCTGTATCTAAATGACAAGGTAAACACAGATATAGTAGTGAAGCTGCAGCTTGAAGGTTAATGATGCCTGTCTTCCAAACCAAGGATCCTGGGTTGAATCCTGCGAAAACCAGGGGCGGATTGCTACGTTCTTAACTGGTAGTCTCAACTCCTCGAATAAAGCCGGCTTTATCACTTAGAGGGTCTTACTAAAGTCACTCTGCTAAGTCCATTGCTATGAAACAGTCTTCGCTTAGACCACTTTGAGTATTGAAAAGCAAACAAGCACTCAATGGTAACAAAAAATTGAGGGCTCTGTTATGCTTGCATATTTATCAAAATGAATGTACATAAATGTAGACCGGTTATTACATACGAGAAACTTTGCAGAATATTTGTTGTTCAATTCTTAATCTTTGACGATCTAGGCCTATGTCTAGTACCTGGAACGCCATGATGAAAATGATTTAAGGCCATTTTAAGGTTCCCCTCGAGTAGGCTTTAAAATTAGAGACCGCGGTATAGCAATGGGCTATCACCATACACCAGTAGAGACATTACAATTATAGCCGGCACAATTATAGCTAAGCGTTAAGACCATCTAAAACCCACTTATAGCGATCCACCCCTGGATTTGTACAGCTTCACTTCAAAAGACTCATTATGGACCTAGTTTATAAATCATAACTTGTACAGTGGAGAACACAGAGTGATACAGAAGAGGTTTATCAGTATATTGAGATGGTAGTAAAAAAGGAAGCAGACTTGAACAAGAACTAATTAATGTTTTAATTTGGCCTATACACTTAATATTAAGCGACTTACAGGCCATAGAACGAGTTGATCTGAAGGCATGTTACAAGTGGCGGTGGTTCCCCCTCTGTCCACAGCAGTTGGCAACAAAGATCGGGTTGAAAACCCATCGTGTACTTCTGTGGACTGGATTTCACCCTCAGATTTGGGACGCCGTCACGCATACCCTCCCCTGAGCTGGTACTCGGTTTGTGAGCACCAGTACTGGGGTTGGGGCTTGGTGGGGCTGGCGGTGGTACACTGTTGGTGGTAAGGCTTCCTGTGCTGTCAGCGCTGAGGGTACTTGTGTTACGCTTGAGCGAGTTCGGTGGCATAGGTGGTAGCTCAGTTTCGGGTGTGTCTGGATCTTCTACCTCATATATAATGGATACTTCCAAAGTCTGCAGAAATATATTTATTATAACAAACAATACAATATTAATAATACACATTTTACAACATTAGTAATGAATGCCAACAACTAAATAAATGCCTAATCATTTATTCTTAATCTTGAATATTACATATATAATTCCAAATAAAATTCATCTTTATAAACAATAATAAATTGTGCAAGGACATTTTATAAATTTAAGTTTGTTTACTTTACAATTTTACTTGGTTGCTTCAAATTTGTTGACATTTTAATTAACATTGGATTTATTTTAGATAATCACAAGGATAAGAATGGAATGCATAAATTTAAAAAAAAAATCCAGTGAAACATAGCCTTTTAGTCATAAAATAAATTTTAGAGAGTGTAGCATGTTACTTCAGAGTCTCTTGATGAGTCATAAATGATGACCTAGGAAGCACCACTTGGTCCAGTTGGGGTAACCTCAATTACAAGAAAAAAACTGGCTCAATTATCAGAAGATTAAGATCCCACTAACTTCTGAAATACATACCGAACTTACAGAGGCCTAAGGCCCTGTTCAGACAACCAAAATTTATCTGTCAGCCTAAATGATGACCTCACATCATGTCCATAAATAGGCACAACTGTGCTATATATGGGCACACAACAGTTATTTTTAAATAAAATTTGATAGATTGCAAAGATGCTAAAATACTAAACCTAAAGGATGCCACTTGATTTTATTGAAAGGCGGCCTAAAAATGAAAAATATGATAACCGAAGGTTCTAAACTCACCATAATCTCACAAGATGCCTCCAGCTTACTGAATCTATACAGGAGAACGTGACCGCTAGCACCGGCTACGAGGAGGATGCGACTCTCTGGACACATGGTAACTTTCTGTATCGCATACGGTTCTTCCTCGCCATCAAGGCTTTTATGCTGCTTTCCTCTCTCAAAGACTTTTGCCGTTTTCAGTTTGTACAGCACTTGTAATGTCACTATCATCAAAAGACATAATAAAAAATAGTCAATTCAAAAAATGCTGTAACATTAATATATTGATAATACTCTCTACTGAAACATCCTACAGAACTTAAACAATGCATCATCATGACAAATCTTTAACAATTTTAATATGATTATATGCATCACTTACCTTGTGAAGCGTCCCAGAATTTCAAAGATCCATCTGCATGGCTTTGATACAAATGGAAAAATAAAAATTTGTCAAAAGTTTATCAATAACATAAAGTGCAATATAATGTTCAAATTTTAAATATTAAAAAAAAAATTTAACATGAACCAATTAAAAAATCCAATTTTACACACATATCACAGATGACCATGCAGACAGCATGATTCTCACCAGAAATACTCCTATGCTCCTAACCCTATCCAGCCACCTGGATTAACCACCATCTCATATATTACTCTTTCACTAATGGTTATCTCTCATAGATGGCACTCTCTCTTTATATGGTCATCTCTAATAGTAATAATCTGTCAGAATAAACAAATATTGACTGCTCATGAGAAGAATGGTGAAATCTATATGGCCCTCGGGAAGATAGGCTACGGTTTGTCTATACATTACAGAGGGGCTACAGATTTCACTGTTCCCCAAATCTAGAGCAGTCAATATTTGTTTTATATACCTCATACATAGATTCTGCGAAACCTAAAAAAGTAATGCAAACAGTACACACCAAGTGGGCCTAGCTTAATTCCTAGGCCTAGGCAATCGAAGGGCCAATCTCTCTCAGCATTGTAGAGGTTGCGTCTCCTTTACTGTTATATAGCAACGCGGCCTAAAGATTGCACATTGATAGTACTTTCTATTGCCCGCTTCTTAACCAATCAAGATGCCTAGAATCTATGTATGCTGTATATGAATGTAATATCTAAATAGACTGGCATCTACCAAAACCAGCCTCTCACAAATGTTCATATCTCATACATGGCCAGCTTCATAGAGTCAAAAATAGAGTTTAACTATAAGATTTTATTTATTCAGGTTTGTATATATTACTATATAAACACAGACCTGTGATATAAATTAAAGAAATGTATTTATTTTATATGAATACCCTGTAATGATGATCTCTTGGTCGCTGCTCCCTCCGGTGCCCCATTGTCCCCCTTTTATTGGCCAATTCTGTGAACAAAAAAAAATCAAAGAAAATACATAAGTAATATTATTATCTTAAATTTATATGGCACCAAATCAAAAGTATTCCAATGACACTGTAACACTGTTATCCCCACTGGTCAATGAATAACCTACAATGCCAAAACAACAGAGAGTGCAACAATTTGCTCACTGGAGAGTACATCTAGTTGTGCGAGAATAAATTGAGGGAGGGGGGGGAATCAATGGAACATCCAGAAGTTACCTATTTACACTCATAAGTCTCTAGAGAGATGCTAATATAGGTAAAATGCTTTGCCTAAGAGAATAAGCAAGGTTAAAACCTCGACAACTAGCCAAAAAATGCTCCCTCCAGTACCATGACCTCTATCAAAATGAAGGTCACTGACTGAAGTCTACTAATAGTATTATATTAAAAAAGTTGCTTGGCTTTAAAATGCATAAATACACCACACTCAATACTGGACATATTTTAAGTTTCAAATTTCAAAAGGAATGCAACATTTTCTCGACTGACCTTTTTGCTGTAGTTTGTTTTCTTCCTGCTGCTGTTTGATCCGGCGGAATACAGGGCCGGAATCAGATCAGCGGGACAATCGGCAAAGTATTGTACACAGGTTACAGGCGACTCATGCAAATCCATAGGGTATGGGTTCTCAAAGCATGGATACCTACGTCAAAGAAACAATTGCTTGTAATGTAAATTATATATTATTATTATTATTATTATTATCATATTTTATTATTATTATCGAATAAAAGAAAATTTTGCAATTCGAAATGTTAAAATAAAATACAAATCTTACTTCCAAGCTTTCGTTACTATCTCAGTAAATTCTTCAGGGAAGATGATGTATTCACACAGATCATATGATCATGTGACAACACCTTCTGCAGTACTGCCGGTGGCTCGTATCTATGTAAATACATCAGTTTCCCTGAAGAAGTTGCTGAGATAGTAGCGAAAGCTTGGAAGTAAGATTTATATGTTATTTCAACATTTCCAATTGCAAAATTTTCTTTCAATCGACATTATGAGTATTGGAATAGTATCAAATATTTTTGATTATTATTATCATTATTATTATCATTATCATTATCATTATTATTATCATTATCATTATTATCACTATTATTATTATTATTATTATTATTATGATTATTATTATATTATTATTATTATTAATTTTATTATTATTATTATTATTATTATTATCATGCTTATCATCATTGTAATTACTGTTGATGCTCTCTATGGATTTCAACACATAATCCAATTAAAATAAAAATATATATATTTGTAAATGAATAACAAAAAGATAGAATTGAAAAGTATAACAATAATCAACAGTGAGTGTAAAAGATCAAATGCACAGAGATCACTATGCTCAAACACTCAAGAGACAGACTAGTGTTTGCTTAAACTTGTAATAACATATTAAAATTAATTAAAAACATAAAATCACAGCCAAAATCATTCAAGAAAAATTATATATGGCTCTGACCCCTTATCCAGATTTTCCTGGCAATATTTGAAACGTTACCAAACAGAATAAAGTTACTGTAATAATATGATTAAAACACAGTTACTATAGTAACTAATAGTTGTTGATAGTTACCCTGGTGATGTAAGGTCAACCACCACAAGGTCATTGTTGAGCAGCACCAATATGGCATATGGGTCTTGATTCTCAGCTGAAAAAAAAAAGCAAATCAGTTAAGGTTCCATACATATGTGACAAAGACAAGCCAAACCAGTCACTCGTCGCAAATCCTGTTTCCTGAGATAATGGCCAAAACATGATGCAATGTTAACATTTTTGAAATCTATTTTATTTCACTAGACTAACATTTATGTATCTATATATCATGCTCTGCTGTTTATTTTCCTCATTTTCAATGTTAAAACAACAATTTTCAACGATTTGGTGACGGTTTCTGCCCAAAATCATGAACTTTGAAGGCTGATTTCTCAAATACTGTTCTTCAAACAGCTGTATGTCTAAACTTCTGTAACTTACCGCTAGGCCAGGGAGTTTCACAGAGGCTGACAAAATCAATGACTGGATACTCCATCTCAAGAACGGTGGTATTCTTTCCCTGGATAATCGTCACACACGGCGTGCCTACGCCCCCCTTCTCCTGACACAGACCCCCAGAGAACACTACATAAGGATCACTAAAATCAAGAAATAATGAGACAAAATTATTCTTAAACTTTTGAATTAGCACATGTGAATGGTTTATACAAACATCAAAAAATGGTTGCTTACCCTAATTTGGCAGACTTCCATTCCACCTTCATTATCGGTGCACATGGATCCACAGGCTTTCCCCCTTTTACAGCCACTTTTCCTGTTAAGAAGCAAAAAAAATAACAAAATATTCCTCAAATTTATTAGATTTCCTACTGTAAAATATTTATATCAGAGGTTCCAAGATGGCAGCAGATACTTAATTGGAGATTTGGTTTCATTATCCATCTAATTGTACTTTGCTGCGAGTAGTTCCAAAACGATCAGCTGTACCACTCCCCAAGATTCGTAAATGGTGTCGTTTACAAAACCAAATTTAAGCTACACATGACAAACTATGACATTTAAAAAGCTATGGCTTCACCAAGTATTTAATACTGTACATACCATGTGGATATGTGACACTAACAGGCTTGCTAGGGGACTTGATATCCCAGCAAGTTAGGGAGCCATCCGTGTGGCTGCACATAAACTGACGGCCTTCAAAATGCCAGCAAATAGAGCGAATCGGTTGAGCTCCATTGAAACGATTCTCTGCTGCTTTGATACGAAGGTCCCAGATCACAGCAGTACCAGACTCAAAGCCAATTAGCAGCTGATTTATTTTTAAAAAGAAAAAAATTACATATACTCTTTTAATACTGTACTTACAAACTTACTTATTACTTATTCTTTATCATAAAAAAATAAATATATTTCTATACCATCACAGTATTATTACTTAGCATTATTAATACTTACAGAATAACTAGATCATTACTCATACCATATTTACCAACACTGCACTAAAATATTGTCATTGTTTAATACTGCTATTATTAATGACAGAATTATACCATCACTTACGCAAGCCTGATTTCCATAAAATTGCTACATGCTATCTGAGACTTCTTTCAGCAATACTGAGGAGCCTTCCAAATTGTGTTTATTGCAGTGCATCTACTACAGTAAAAACGCTGTGACAGTGTAGCAATTTTATGCAAACCAGGCTTTCTTCTCATTAATATTTACATTTTAAAAATAATGCAAAAACAAAAGATTACAAAACAGCAAATACAATTCTTGTTGAAGAGTTTGTGTACCTTGTTTTGATCTGTGGGACAGTCGCTCAAATGAATAACTGGGCCTGGCAACGTTTTTCGGGATCTACAAAAGACAAATATTGAAACATTTAAAAATTGCACAAGTACATAAACTTATGTTGTACAAGATGGCATTCCCACAAGTTTACGCCATCATTCATTGTGGGCTAATTTCATTTATTCTTTGAACAACACATATGACACTGCAAGTAAGTACATGAAATGTCATATGTTCACGCTATAATATTACTGAGAATACATTCATCCATTATGTATAGTCAAAAAGCAAACATCCTGAATTTTCTATCTTGTAATTGGTTGTAAAACAGCATCCAGGTAAATACCTAGACTTGCCTATTGACTGTTAAGAAGTACAAGCAGTATACTTGTTCGTATCACATAAACTATTAACATGAACAATGCCATTTGCAATGTCAGTGAATGTCTGAAGATGTATGTGCTAATGTATCTAGACACGCCCATTGTCTATTAGAACATCATGTATTGTGGCTATTCAGTATGTAACAAATAAGATGAGAACAGCGTATTTGTCATCGTTCGGTAACAAATGAGATGACAATCATAAGAACACCTTTGTGGGTGTTGATGTGGGTGTCTGTATGGGTCTTTGATGTATGTTGTTGTATCTAGCCACATCCATCTAATGCTATAACATTTTGCCAAGTATAGATGTCTTAATCATGTGGGATGTAAAGTCATTAATGTACCTTAGTATGCGTCTCATGCAGCATATAGGCTAATTAACATCTAGACACATAATTGACTGTTAAAAACTGTACTGTACATTAGTGACTATCCAGTATTAACATGCGATATGACTCATGTTGTGTCTTTGTAGTGTTTGTGTGAATGTCTACATGGGTGTCTCAAATTAAAGATGTATTATCCCCTAAAAATGACAAAAAAAAAATAAATAAAAAATTATTTTGAAATTAACATGCTCATTGTGTAGTATACTAGATAGAAATAATAACAACATTTGACTGGAAGTTGATAAATTCTATGCTACTTCAAAATGAGCAGGTTAATTTCAAAAATGATTTTTATTATTTACTTGGTATTTTTCATGGGATAATACATCTTTAATAGCATGACCCAAAAGCTCTGTACACTATCAAGTTTACTTCAAGAAAATAAAAAACTGTTGTATGACCATATATAGTAATGATGTGCCTATATATGGTCATGATGTGATGTCATCAATACCATATTTAGGCATGTCACATGTTTTTGTCAATATAATTTGATAGTCAGGACAGGACATAATGTAAGGATACACTGTTAGGACAGAAATTGTGGATCCAATATTAGTTGTTACCATGTTACATGACACTTTAAGCATCTTTGCAGGTATTTAAGTGGATGTGAGTGTCTGATGGACAATGAGGTGTGACTGGATACGCCACCTTCAGCATAAGCAGCAATGAAAGCCTTACTTTTCCCCCAAAAGAGCATAAAAACACCATAAAATACAACCAGAGAAAAAGGCAATTGCCGTGCTACCTCAATATCTATAGCAATCACACCAAAGGGACAGTGTTTTGGTGATACAAATTAATTAGAATCATTATCATTATCATATATCATAATGAGAGCAGCTTAGCTCAGTTGGCTAAACTGGTGGTAGCCACTGTGTGTGTGCTGAACCATGGAGATCTATAGGTCTCCGATCCAATTCCCATCGCTGCCCTCCTGGAGTTTTAGCTGGAGGGCTGAAATACAAGTTACGATAGCACACCGCCTTTCGGACGAGATGCATTCTGTTGGTGCCGTGTGCATTTGGCCCATGTGCACGTTGAAGGATGTAGTATACGCTTGGATAAAGAGTACAGGATTGTCTCCCGGTGTATTACCCAATCACTACCAGAAGGACCCCTCTGGAAATTAAGTAATTTGTGAGACTTTTATGAGTAATCCTTTGTGTTCACACCAAATAAATCAGTGATAAATCTTGAGATGGCAGCATCTCAGTCTTTAGTCTTTAAAATTTGTAGATTATTACACATATGGAACTACAGATGCCAAATATGAATAATTTAGAATCATGTTGCAGGACTAAATGTCCTATTTAAATAAGAAAGCATGTACAGATATTCCAAATCAAGTCATCCATCCATTTAGAGATATTTAGATACAGCTACCAATATACACCCCATGAAGGGGGGCACTATATCACTTCCTGTACCCAATATAATAAAAACACTTCAAACAATGAAACAGAAGTAAATATACCATCACCTAAACCCAGATGCCCAAAATACCATGACCCTAGAAACAAACAGTACAGTACAAAAAATGCCCACAAAAATCTTGGAAGCAGAAATACAGTGCAAAATAGTAGGCCCACATCCCAAGCTCCAGTGTAAATGTTCCCTGAATAGCCGAACATTCAGTTACTAGACAATCTCGGTGATAAGAGTATTATCTTCAAAGTTCACAATGTTCTCCAAAATGCTTATTAATTAATCTTCCAAACCAAAAAAAATTTTCTTTGTAGGTTTCTTATAAATGCTGTATATCCAAATTATACTTTTCACCATTTAAATGAAACTACCAAATTATCTAAGAATAAATACTTCCGAAGATAAATTTGACTTAATAGGTGGAGGTCATGCGTTACCTTCTAATTTCAAAAGATTGCATTCAAATAACAAAATGCCAAACCTGCAATATTTGCCGATGAAGCAACACATAAGCCAGCATATATTCCACACAAAGAGAGGCAAAAACAATAAAAACATTTGTGAATAATTTGCAATCCATCCTATATGTTTATGATGAGTCTTCTACACTTCTTATCCTTAGCAAAAGCAGAGCTAAATTGGTCTCTTTTTTTTCATTGTTAGCGAATAGTTATCATTACATAATTTAAACTTACTTCAGCTGCAAAGTATATCAGATTGTCTAAACTGCAGTAGTGATAAAGATGGCAGATGAAAAATAACAAGAAAAAGAAACATCAAAAAGGTAATTAGGCAAAAATTGTAATTTGTATAAAACCGCACATACTAACCGGGGAAAAAAAATCAAGATTAAAATCTAAAAAAAAAAAAAAAAAAAATCAATCAGAATCCTTTGTGTTCAGCAGTAGTGAAATGAGGAGAACATCTCTTGAACAACTGATAAGTACGGCAACACGGCCGGAGAGAAGTCTGTCTACTCAGGGAAAAGTGTCATCACTATAAACTGTGAACTTGCATTAAATATGTTTTGTGAAATATTGTAATGTAATTAGAAATGATATGTCACATAAAGTATGTCTCAATGTGCTTCTGTTTTCTGTTTTTTATAGTAGATGTAGTGCATAAACCATGTCTCGCTGCACGTAAATAAAATTTATATGGATAAAAAAGACCAAATACAAACAATTTAAAAACTTAAAAATTTCTATAATTCAAGCTTATCTTCATATTACTTAGTCACACTTCCTGGAAATTTTACATGACTCAGTCATCACAATTAACATTTCAATAAAATAGTAATAGATGAAAATGGGCAGATGACATCACAATTAAGGCAGATAGGTGGCAGTAGACAGAGTCAGTCACTGAGTTGGATTTACTTATTTTATTTAATCTTTCATTATACTGCAGGCACTTTAAGTACTATAGTACTGATTTTCGAAGTGGTACAGTGACGAGAAACATATACAGTAGTAATAAAACAAAGAATAACATAAAATTTGAAAATATTATTTCTAATGATTTTGGAATGAAAAAGTCGACATCTCTTCAAAATTAATTTTTAATTTGTGTGGATCAGATATTACTAGTACAAGATTTCCAGTGAGACCAGAAGTGGGGTTGTGAGATGAGATAATGAAGACATTGGGTATGGCTGGAAGTAAAGCACAAACAAAACATGAGGCCTTCACCTGATATTGAGTTGGCAATGGTGATAATGATTATGATGATGATGATGATGATGTGGATAATATTGATAATGTAGATGATGATTTTGACAATGTTGATGATAATGAAGATGATAATATGATAAAGATAACAATTTATTAAGTTTAGATGATGATCAGAATGATGATAATAATGAAGATGACACGATGATGATGACGATGATGATGATGCTGATGCTGAGAATGAAAACTATGCTAATGAAAATGATGATGATGGTAATGATTTAAATTGACAGAGATAATGATTTTAATAAAAATAAAAATAATGAAGATGACAGCGGTAGCAGAGGTGAAAGGTAATAAATAATGACAATGATGAAGAAGAAAATAGTAAAGAATGAATGAAGTAGATGATGATGATAATAATGAAATGACAATATCCTAATTTATTAACATGTTGTAATACTATTTGCATTTTGTTATCTCCTTACAATTCAATAGCTTTGTTCCAATTGATCACGTATCCAGATAGAGTGAAGGACTCTATGTTAGCAATATGGATGTTACCTCGCTCTGTCCCAATGTAGAACCACTTGCTTTGAAATGGTATGTGACAGTAGGTGATACTGAAACAAGAATAAAAAGAAAAAGTTACAATAGAAATCATATAACCACCAATTATGTTATAGAACAAACACACTATGTTTGGCAAATTGGAAGGTCGAATGGTTAAGGCAGCCTCAGCGCCTTGAGACATTTCATTTCTTTAGTCATGAGGGCCAGGGATATGCCAATAAGTGAACTTAATCACTGTCCTACGTGGCATAACCATTTAACAACGGGGGACTTAATGGACCAGTACACCGGGGCAACCCCCTACTCTTCTCGAATGATGTACCGGGTTCTTTAAAGTGCACACGAGCCAAATGCGTACACTGGGCCTACGGTTTAAAGTCCTTATCCGAGAAGACTTGTTCCACCACCGGAACCATTGGCGAGTAAGCCGTTCAAACCAGCGCCGATATTAGAGCTGAAGGTTACAGTGCCCCTGACTTAACCGACTTAACTATTTTATTGTGGGAGGCGCTCCACAAATATCCTACCATTACCATTAGGGGAGGGGCGTCACAACGTACAGCAATAATATATCGGCGCTGGTTCAACAGTACACTCATCTATGGTTCTGGTGGTGGAACAAGTCTTTTCATTTAAGGACTATAAACAGTGAGCTCAGTGTAAACAATTTGAATCGTGCACTTTAAAGAACCAAGTACATCTTATGAGATGTGTAGGGGTTACCCCGGTATACTAGTTCATTCAGCCCCTGCTGTGGACAAGCAAGAGTAGTTGGTACCAGTTTACCGGGTAGCTCAGACACAACAAGACCCTTAGGGGAGAAGCAAGTTACCTGGTTCATTCAGCTCCTGCTGTGGACAAGCAAGAGTATTTGGTACCAGTTTACCGGGTAGCTCAGCCCTTAAGAAGCAAGTTACTGTAAGAGCCAATCCACGCCTCAAGCGCTTTGAGACCGTTTCGGTGTAAAGGGCTATATAATTCTACCTACAGTACATGCAAGTTGTGTTTTTAGGCATCTATTTTTTTCAACAGGTCCTAAATACGCCTAAAAACTATTTAGGGGCCTGTAGAGAAATTGACATTTTTTTTAAATATACAGAATGTATGTAAACTTATATGTTTTGGTGTCTAAATTGAAAAGCTTGCCATATTTTTGTAGTTTTATAATTTTAAATTCCAGTTTAAATAACAGCTTAGGAAATAACAATAAGATAATATGGATGATGATGCTATTGCTAATAATAATAATCATAAAGTAATAGTGATAATACTATGGCAAAGCCTACACCAACAATAATGATCTATTATGCTCTGAATATTTAAGAATAAGAATTAACGTCACTGAAGAATTAAAGAAATAAGAATATTTTCTTTATCCGGGTCTTGAATCCATTAGAGAACAATGGTTGCCAATTCAGTCGTTAGGTTTATTATGAAAATAGATAAATTGAATTTATTCTTTGTCAAGGGGCTTTGTCACGGCCCTTATCATATCCACCAGATAATCATCATATTATATCCACTGTAATGCATTGATTTTCCGAGTAAATTCAAATCATATCAATTATCAGTGATATTTGATACCAAGTGAATACTGAAATGTTATTGTAGTATAGTATAACCACCTACACACAAACCACAGTCTTTGTAGTGAATCTAATATCTATTCACTCACAAACATCAATATAGATCTCTATACACTTTACTGTTCCAAACATATTTCATAATAATTTTATTATTTTTTTTTAAATACACTTTATCATTTCTTTTCTACTAACTTATATATATTTTTGTAATTTCTTTTTTCTTTCATGGATTTTTTAAATTCTTTTTTTAAAAGTACACATACTGTAGTTGTGCACTTGTTTTTTTTTTAAATTGACTATTACATAATAATACAAAAATTATGTACAGTACTTATTGAGAAAATAATGTTAATCCTTTCAGAATTTTATCATTTTACATTATATTTCTACTGTTTACTATGTGACACTTTTTATGATTAGGCCGTACTAATTTTAAATTTTTGTCTCACAAATTTCCTGCTTGCAAAAATTTATGTGGAATGCCCTTTTTTCTAAATATGTTTCAACAAAAATATTTTTATTATAAAAAAATTTATTTATTTAATCATAATATTTTTATTGTTAAACTGGGTTCAAAAGGCCCTGTACAGGGCTCTCTTCACTTAAGAATTATAGCGTGTCAAGACAACATGTTGTAGGATATTATAGGAGGTTACAATTAGAGCGAGATTTTTTTTTAAAGAAATAATGTTTCTACTTTTTTTAGACAAGAACAACGCGCATGAATTAAATAATACGCACAGGAGATTTGAGACAAACAATTACAGGTACATTAATATGGCCTTATTGGTTTACAAATCGAATCCCAAGACAATTCATCATGCCATATTCAATTACGATAAACTATCCATGTAGCCTATAAACTGAAAAAAAATACAAATTATTGAATTTATTAAATTGTTGTCATTATCAACCAATAACTCGTGAATTATTTACATTTCCTTATTGAACTTGAGAGAATGTAATATAGCAGGCCTCTTCTGACGCAAATTCCACATGTTGAGACTGTTATCAGCACACACAGTGACAAGAGCACCCTGAAAAAAAAGAGAAACAGTTACTGTTACAATATAGTTTTGATCCAAATGCAAAATCATATGATGGAAATACTGTAGAAATAATAATAATAATAATAATAATAAAGTAAGAACTTATATAGCGCCATTTAAAAAACCGAAGTAATTATCAGTGGCGCTTCATGTTATTGTTGGAGTAAAACCTTAAATAGAAGCCCCGAGGGCTTAATCTGAGAAGTAGCCCATCTCGAATTAAAGCCCCTCTTTAGGTTGCAAATGTAGTCTCAAAAAGAAGCGCATGGGCTTCTCTTTCAGATAGTACAAAATATACACCATACATGAATTTAAAAAAAAAAAAACAAAAAAACAAAAAAAACTACAAGCTTGGTTTATACAGTAGTTTAGGCGATTTAATGCCGGTTAATACACTCCATGATACAGATTGATGATACACTTACAGTGGCCCTATTTATTGTTTTTTTTTGTTTTTTTTTGTAGTAATTCCCAAAACTTACATTTTGAAAAGAAGCCACCCTCTTTACTTTGTAAAAATAGCCTTGAAAAGAAGCCTATCTCGAGAAAAAAAAGAAGCCCAGGCCTTCAATTCGAGGTTTAACGGTAGTTGGACAATTGAGATAAACAATTGAGGATGAAATGCAGTGCAGACAAATACCGTATACCTCCAATTCAAGACTACTTTTTCAAAGAACGAAGTAACTATCTTCAAAACATTAACACAAATCTAACCCTTTAATTGGAGACCGAAGCAGAGATCACCTATAGTTTTCAGGTCGCAAAGGTAGTCTTGAATTGGAGGGTGCATAGCAGATAGCTTGACAACAGTAATAGTATAGAACCCTGATTACTCTCTCAGATGGGTGCAAATAGGAGTAGAAGGGGTTAAATTTATAGGAAGTTACAGACACACCTGGATCTTCCCCTGTTGATATGGATGCTGCGACATCAATATCAAGGACTATCGGTATTGTAATTAGCAAAAAGATATAAATATGGAAGTCTGTTTTTCGATAGATGGAGGAATAAATCTACCAGCTTTTTAGCAATCATCATCGCCTCAGGATGTGGCGAAAACAAGGAATAACAACAGCGACAAGAGGTGAATAAAATTTAAATAAAATTTACATATCTATAAACATTGAATACATTGTGGCTTTGTATTTGATACTACTTTTCTAGAGCATAATTAGGGCAAATTATTATTCATGATGATTATATTTCAAACAAGTGCCAACAGGAACACTTTGTTCCCACTACAGGCAAATATAATGGACAAAAGAGTTGGATGTTTTCCTGGAATCTGTGATGAACAGTTGGCATGTGTATAATTATTAGATATGAGGTTGTTGTTTTCATCGTTGACCTGAATAAAAACAATTCAAAACAACCAGTTCATTCTTCCTGCTTTTGTTCTCAATAGCATTTTGAAGAGAGCCTTTCACCACACTTTAATAATGAACCAGTAAACCAAGTGTCTTTTTTGTTGTATAATTTCCATAAATAAATTCTTGTATTATTGCAAAATCACATGATGAAATAATTTCCAAAATCATGGATTTTGTATGGTTTCTATATATAGATTCTGTCATATTTTCTATGAGTCCTAATTTCATTGAATCATAATTCAATTTATATTGTTTCCTAAGTATTTTATTGTTATCTGTGATGAACAGTTGGCGGCATGTGTATAATTATTAGATATGAGGTTGTTGTTTTTATCGTTGACCTGAATAAAAACAATTCAAAACAACCAGTTCATTCTTCCTGCTTTTGTTTTAAATAGCATTGTGAAGAGAGCCTTTCACCACACTTTAATAATGAACCAGTAAACCAAGTGTCTTTTTTGTTTTATAATTTCCACAAATAAATTCTTATATTATTGCAAAATCACATGATGAAATAATTTCCAAAATCATGGATTTTGTATGGTTTCTATATATATAGATTCTGTCATATTTTCTATGAGTCCTAATTTCATTGAATCATAATTCAATTTTTATTGTTTCCTAAGTATTTTATTGTTATTGTAATGTTGGTGTAAGTATGAATCAGTTTCCACTACAATTTGAAATAAAATTACACCATACTTAAAAATTATCTCAATCGTGAAGCTCTGTCCCGATATCATATTTTTTTTGTTAAAAAAATATTTTATATGCCCATATATAATCATGATGTGCCTATATATGGTCATGATGTGCCTATATATGGTCATGTGATGTCATCATGACCAAAGGCATGTCACATATTTTTGTCAAATATAATTTGATAATCAGAACAAGCCTTTCAGGTAAAAATATGTTGGAAAAACTATTAAAAATCATGAGTGTCACTCTGTATACATATTTTTATTGGAAACTATTTATAATATTAAAGATTATGCATTTAGATATTAAATGAACTTGTAGATATAATGTATGAGATCAGGTTAATAACTATACCAGACCTCAGACCACCTAGCCAGTGTTGCTTGATCAATGGCTGATCCAGAAAATAGAGCAGCCGTTCCGTGGCGAAACAACATAACTTGAAATTTTCACTTTTGGATAAAAATAGAGTTAAAGTTTGCATATTGCAACTTGGCTATAAATTGTCGTACCCTTTTTCAAATTTTGCAGGATTGTATATGTATAGACATTGTAATTACATGTAAAATTTTAACCGTTTGTTTATTGCAAAGTTATTAGCGATATTCGCAGATAAGCCAGGCTTGGTATTGTTGCAAGTGCGACATATTTTTTGGAATTTATCACATTTGGAGCAATCACATGCATTATCCAGCTTGTTCATACGTCGCGGTTAAGATTATTGATATAAAAAAAACCAATAACTAGTTGAATTTGCCTTGCCAAACTCCATCAGCTCAAAACAATTTTTGAATACAATTCCGAAGCAAAACAACGTACTACGACTTATCTATATCGTAGATATGTTATTTTGCCCCGTAATCTTGCAGTTGCTCTGTTTTAACAGGGAAAATTCATTTAAGTTTTATGCTTAAAGATAATAGGTGCTATATTCGAAACGACTGACTGTTGAGACCTGAAAAGATGTGTATAAGAGACAGGGTTAATACACTCCATGATACAGATTGATGATACACTTACAGTGGCCCTATTTATTGTTTTTTTTTGTTTTTTTTTGTAGTAATTCCCAAAACTTACATTTTGAAAAGAAGCCACCCTCTTTACTTTGTAAAAATAGCCTTGAAAAGAAGCCTATCTCGAGAAAAAAAAGAAGCCCAGGCCTTCAATTCGAGGTTTAACGGTAGTTGGACAATTGAGATAAACAATTGAGGATGAAATGCAGTGCAGACAAATACCGTATACCTCCAATTCAAGACTACTTTTTCAAAGAACGAAGTAACTATCTTCAAAACTTTAACACAAATCTAACCCTTTAATTGGAGACCGAAGCAGAGACCACCTGTAGTTTTAAGGTCCCAAAGGTAGTCTTGAATTGAAGGGTGTATAGGAGCTAGCTTAACAACAGTAATAGTATAGAACCCTGATTACTCTCTCAGATGGGTGCAAATAAAAGTAGAAGGGGTAAATTTATAGGAAGTTACAGACACACCTGGATCTTCCCCTGTTGATATGGATGCTATGACATCAATATCGGGGACTACCGGTATTGTAATTAGCAAAAAGATATAAATATGGAAGTCTGTTTTTTGATAGATGGAGGAATAAGGCTACCAGCTTTTTAGCGATCGTTATCGCCTCAGGATGTAGTGAAAACAAGGAATAACAACAGCGACAAGAGGTGAATAAAATTTACATATCTATAAACATTGAATACATTGTGGCTTTGTATTTGATACTACTTTTCTAGAGCATAATTAGGGCAAATTATTATTCATGATGATTATATTTCAAACAAGTGCCAACAGGAACACTTTGTTCCCACTACAGGCAAATATAATGGACAAGAGTTGGATGTTTTCCTGGAATCTGTGATGAACAGTTGGCATGTGTATAACTATTAGATATGAGGTTGTTGTTTTCATCGTTGACCTGAATAAAAACAATTCAAAACCACCAGTTCATTCTTCCTGCTTTTGTTCTAAATAGCATTGTGAAGAGAGCCTTTCACCACACTTTAATAATGAACCAGTAAACCAAGTGTCTTTTTTGTTGTATAATTTCCATAAATAAATTCTTGTATTATTGCAAAATCACATGATGAAATAATTTCCAAAATCATGGATTTTGTATGGTTTCTATATATAGATTCTGTCATATTTTCTATGAGTCCTAATTTCATTGAATCATAATTCAATTTATATTGTTTCCTAAGTATTTTATTGTTATCTGTGATGAACAGTTGGCGGCATGTGTATAATTATTAGATATGAGGTTGTTGTTTTTATCGTTGACCTGAATAAAAACAATTCAAAACAACCAGTTCATTCTTCCTGCTTTTGTTTTAAATAGCATTGTGAAGAGAGCCTTTCACCACACTTTAATAATGAACCAGTAAACCAAGTGTCTTTTTTGTTTTATAATTTCCACAAATAAATTCTTATATTATTGCAAAATCACATGATGAAATAATTTCCAAAATCATGGATTTTGTATGGTTTCTATATATATAGATTCTGTCATATTTTCTATGAGTCCTAATTTCATTGAATCATAATTCAATTTTTATTGTTTCCTAAGTATTTTATTGTTATTGTAATGTTGGTGTAAGTATGAATCAGTTTCCACTACAATTTGAAATAAAATTACACCATACTTAAAAATTATCTCAATCGTGAAGCTCTGTCCCGATATCATATTTTTTTTGTTAAAAAAATATTTTATATGCCCATATATAATCATGATGTGCCTATATATGGTCATGATGTGCCTATATATGGTCATGTGATGTCATCATGACCAAAGGCATGTCACATATTTTTGTCAAATATAATTTGATAATCAGAACAAGCCTTTCAGGTAAAAATATGTTGGAAAAACTATTAAAAATCATGAGTGTCACTCTGTATACATATTTTTATTGGAAACTATTTATAATATTAAAGATTATGCATTTAGATATTAAATGAACTTGTAGATATAATGTATGAGATCAGGTTAATAACTATACCAGACCTCAGACCACCTAGCCAGTGTTGCTTGATCAATGGCTGATCCAGAAAATAGAGCAGCCGTTCCGTGGCGAAACAACGTATCTTGAAATTTTCCCTTTTGGATAAAAATAGAGTTAAAGTTTGCATATTGCAACTTGGCTATAAATTGTCGTACCCTTTTGAAATTTTGCAGGATTGTATATCTATAGACATTGTAATTACATGTAAAATTTTAACCGTTTGTTTATTGCAAAGTTGTTAGCGATATTCGCAGATAAGCCAGGCTTGGTATTGTTGCAAGTGCGACATATTTTTGGAATTTATCACATTTGTAGCAATCACATGCATTATTATCCAGCTTGTTCATACATAGCGGTTAAGATTATTGATATGAAAACACCAATAACTAGTTGACTTTGCCTTGCCAAACTCCATCAGCTCAAAACAATTTTTGAATACCATTCCGAAGCAAAACAACGTACTACGACTTATCTAAATTGTAGATACGTTGTTTTGCCCCGTAATCTTGCAGTTGCGCTATTTTAACAGGGAAAATTCATTTAAGTTTTGTGCTTAAAGATAATAGGTGCTATATTCGAAACGACTCACTGTTGAGACCTGAAATGTTAATATACTGAAGAGTTTAATATACTCCCAAATTATCTCAAAATCGACAAAAAGTCAGTTACGTTGTTTTGCCTGGGGAAGGCAAAATGGGGCTTAGTCATAGATGGAGGTTCTATACCACCTCAGGTTGAGGTAAGAGAATTTATGATTATGGCAACTCTAAATGGGCAGAAATGGCTTAAACTTGAATTAGATTTTCTTTTATTTCCATTATTTTTTTAATTTTGAAAAAGTAGGGGGAAGGGGGGGGGGCCAGGATCAGATGTCCTCCCCCTCCCCACCATCTGCCACAGTTGAATGTCAAATCGCAAGTCATAATTGCCAATGTCACTAGTTTCATTCAGGGAGGTTTAGCATATTACTCTGAGAACCACAGTATTCAGAGCTAGTTTTCACAAGAATACCATATTATAATGTGCTAATGTTGCAGTCTGACTGACATTAGCACTAATGTGTACAGTCATCCTCTTGAACCATCTTCACTTTAACATCTTCATAAAAATGATAAGTAAAAACACATTCATTATGATGACTCTGCATTGTTCTCCATATTCATATTATCGGAATATGAATATGAAATGAGGTGGAACAAAGGCAGCAAATTACTATGTTGGACAATAGCCTATAGTATATATCACCCTGCCTGTATGGGTGTGTAGTAGTACAGTATAGTACAGTACTATTAGGTACCGCTGTGTTGTATGTGACAAAATAACATCATGACCATACATAGGCACACCATGACTAAATATGGGCATACAACAGCTTTTTTTTTTAGGGGATCATGTTCTGTATGTGGTACAACTAACTTGTTTGTGGGTTTGGCTGTTAAGCTAAACGTGTAGTTGCAGGTATAAGGTGGGGGGAGGGGAAACATGTACAGTATGTGCTTTGACTATCTAGTTTGTTGGTGTGACCGATAAAATGTGTGACAAAAGCAAGTACATTTGTGACAGTTACATGTGAGGGGAGCTACTTGAACGTGGTTGACTACCTTGTTTTGTGGTGATCCATAGTGCAGCGGTGGGGGGGGGGGAGGAAGAACGTGTATTTGCAGATCATGTGACTATTATATGTGCGAGGGGAGCATTATGTGGTATAACTACATTGCCTGTTAGTTTGACTGTTATCATGTGTAAAAGAGCATTGCGGGTGTGACTGTGGTCTTACATGTGTGAACAAAGATGATATATAGTATGACTACTATGCTGTTTGACTGTTTTACTGTACGTGCAAGGACAGCATGTACGCATGCAGTTAAATGTTTATGGATATGACACGGTTACTACCTGTGTTGCATGTGGCTATAACTGTGTTGCCCTTGTGAGGGATGCCAGAGCTGTAAACAAGATTTCGAATGGGGATTCTAATTTTACATTCACTTACGAGGTCTCAAGGCCCCCCCCACCCCCACTTGGTGGTTTGTGGGGTCGAGGGACAATAGGTTGCATATGTCTGGATCTGTTTATAATGAATGTGTCTTAATACCAGATTGTGTGGTTGGTTTGTTTTATGTACTACACTAGTACTACTAGGTCAATCAATCTATCATCAGTTATACGTACAGCTCCAATAAGCATGATACAACGCTCAGTGGTGCTATGACGTGAGCAGTTCTCAGAAGTTTGTGTGTACATTTAAAGACACATGCATAGATTTGACTACATATATTGCATTTAGATGCTATATTTATGATGTATGACCAAGTATAGGTGCACTTACCTCATTGATGAGGAACATAATTTGAATAATAGCCACATCACTATCGTGTCTCTCATGGCAATCCACGCCTGGTTGTCCAAATCTATAATCATCTGGTTAAGGAAACAGCCACATTCCAAGCAGAAGCATAATTAATAATCATTTCAAAGTGAAAGGCTACTGCAGGATACGAACAACAAAATCACAAATAATAATAAGCAAATTATCAAAAATTACCATGTAAAGCAACGCATTACATTAAATCAATCTCAAATGATGAAAATCACCCTTACACAGTTTTAGGCTATAGTATCCTACCGCAAAACAGTAAAGAATGGATGTAATACAAAAGTAAATTGGCATTGCAATTCATTCAGTGAAAGTGTAAATGATTGTTTAATAGCAATAATATCATAAATCAGTAGAAGTTACATTATCATAATAATAAAATCAAGGATTAATATCAATTAATGTTCTTAACAGAATGTTTGTATCATAACATGTGTTCACTGAAGGCCAAATAAAAAAAAATACTAGTTTCTCATCCCCTCGCACATTCAATTTCTCTGCCTCACCAATTTTTTTTTTTAATTTTCTATTTTTTTTTATTTTACAAAATGTACAAAAATCTTGCATCAGTAAAATTCCTCCCTCAATCATTCGTGGTTGGGGATACATGAATCATGTTTAGTGCTTTTTTTTATTTGCTTTCAATGTGTCTACTTGGTAAAAGTGAGAAAGTAGTAGCGGTTTCCCATCGACCATCTTTGATCTGCAATCTTGGAGCTAAAAAAAAAAGAATGCCTTCATTCTCCTTTTTTCAAAATATTAGGGCAAGAAACTACTATTTATTTTTACTTGGCCTAATCTAAAAAAGCAAATAATACTGTACATGAAATTACAATTGGCCTTAATTTGAATCACATCTCACTAGACTGTAGGTTTAATGTACTATTATTTTTTCATCACTTACTTGTATCCAAACACAATATTCTTTTAATAACACCTATTAATATCTGAAAATACATAAATATAAAAACATGTGTGCTTGTCTGCAATGCTCATTAACATAATTTATAAATGATTAGCTACATAAAATTAGTTATGTTGGATAATATCCCATCAGTACTGCTGTGTGTTGTAGCTATACTGTGGTAATGTGTACAGTTAAAAGGCTTTGCGTTTGAGTTTAAGGCGAGGGGCTAGTAACACCATTGGTGTAGGCAGGGAGAGGGGGTTTGGGGATGTGGACAATGACAGCAAATCAGTTCCACAATGTTGGTTAAAACACTAAAAATCTTTCATAGGAATAGGGATTTAGTTCCATATTCTCAATTTTCGCACTCCCCAGGCTGTTTCGCACCCCTCCCCCAGACCAAAACCAACCTACACTCCTTGTGACCTTGGGAAAAACACTGAAAATATACCGGTATTTTTCCACCAACCAAAGATTATACTGGCACTATCAGCTTAATGAACAATACTGTATCTTCCAAAAGACTGTGCTCTCCATGTTATATACTGTTTCACTTTTTTTTTTAACATGTATTAACACTTCAGCCCTCTATTAGAAATAAAAGGACACTTCCAAGGGAATTGGACCAAGGATCTCTATAAGTAGTGTGTGCGCACAACAAATATTCTGTAAAATTAAATTTATTGAAAAAAATTAATTTCTGATATTATAGTATTTAAGTTGGTATTAGTTGTTATTAAATAGGACAAGCTATTAATTATCTATAATCTGTAATTTGTAGTTAGATGTGAAAGATAAAAATTTAAAAGAACTATATCTATACTTACTTACTTTCAATGAGATTATAATTAATTAACTAATTGAATTATTGAGTGCCTGATAGCTTGAATATTAGCATAATCCAGGAATGGCCTGATACATAATTAACTGTATCCTAGTATTACAACTGAGAAAATATTTTGCCAGATAAATCATGAATAAATTATAGCATTGTGAATAAACATTATAGTCATATCAAAATTATAATTTAGCTTTTGTGTACACATTTAGTTCTAAAAATATACATTTTTGGCTGTCAGTATTGTTTACACTATGACTCATTCTATATGGTTCAGAATCTAAAAAAATTAATTATGCTAATTATGTCTACATATATACAAGCATAAAAATATATGAAATTAATGTATAATTTTATGGGAGATCAATAGAATGGTTTTTTTAATATGTTGAAAATAAATCTATTCTAAGAACAATGGGGAATTGTTACAAGTAGTGCTTTGATATCAATATATTTACGTAAATTAAACCTAAAACCAACAGGCACACAAGCATAGAATAAAGAAGCATTTGCAATGAACTAATAATGTTTATGTATGGCTTTCTCTCTTCACACTGTCAGCCATTTTCTTTGCATTCTGTTGATGAAGACAAAATGATTAGTAGTACGAGGACGACTAGCGAAAGTGTCACGCTTCACTGCACAACCTCATCAACACAAGTCTTGTAGCTTTGGTCGGCGCAATAATCGACCATTCATTGGCTTGGTGTGCACTCGATACAGCAACATTACAATCCAAATGGTAATCTACATAATGTAGCCAGCTAAGCATTTATTCAATGATCTGCCGTACATACAGTAACGCCGTAAACCTCGCAAATATCCAACAAAATACCGGTTCAAGATCGCTTTACCCTAACAGTAAACTCAAACATAATGAACAAATTATTACTACATATAACAGTTGTATTTATATCAGCAAACAACAGTACCATATGTTATGCAATTAAAAGCAAATATATTAACTGTTTTCAACAGATGTGCAGCCTATAAATTCCTTTAATTTATTAGATTTTCGCTGGTGACATGGTATTAAAGCAAAAAGAAAATTACAATACAAGGCTTATTGTCACACTAAATCACAACCTGAGATTTGATCTCAAAGGGTTACAAATGTACAGTTTGAAACCATCTCATTCTGTATTAGTGGAAATATATGATAATTAACATTTACTTCAATACTGTACATTGAATAATTTATCTTGATCAATCTCGTCTTTTAAGCCTGAGCTTCCCATTGAGACAAACAACACAACAGGGAGGAGGCATTACAAATGGAGAGGGAGAAAAATCTATGGCATTCCAGAAAATAAACACAAAAAAAAAGGAAAGGAAAGAAAATGAAATATATTAGGAAGCAATGGAAGAAATGTGTACGGAAAAAAAAGGTGGTAAATTTAAACCAAATAAGAAAAGAATGAAATGCATGGGGCAAATATTTTTAACTTTCATAATGAAAATTAAAATACATGTGAAATATAGTATAAATCCTGTAAAAAAAAATATAATTGTTTTATAATTTAGATTTAAAGAGATGTACCTGTACTGTACTGTATGCATTATGAATGGTAAGGTATTAGGATCACACATATTACGTGAGTATATTATCTTTACTGTATACCAGAACCATGGAAAAAATTAAAATACACATTGTTGGCTCTTGTTCCTAGAACTTTTTCTTTCTAAAATTTTTTTTTTTTTAATTAACCTATCTAAATTATGAATTTCTGATTTTCGAGTGAAAATAAGAAGACTTGCAAATCAAGTACAAATGATGAGGTCAACTTAATGACCGACTCCTTCAATTTGATCCAATCAAAATTATAATTCAAACCTATGTTGACCTATTGGGATTGAATCAAACCATTATAGTACCTGGACTACAGATGCAACTGGACAGTCCATTTAAATCCAATAAAAATAATACAAGTTAGTGACAAATAACATGTCACAAAACACATTGTACTGTACAGAGTTAAAGTTAAGGAGGTGTAGGATTGTGATATTATCTTTTATCACATAATTTATCATGATTAATTCAATAAGTATTAGCCAATTTGGATTATTTTTTAATGGAATTTTGCCTCAAAATATAGGCTAAAGGTTGGCGGAGAAGCATTAAGATCGACAGAAGCCCCACGAACATAAAACAAACAACCAATGGTTTGACTGTACTAAAATGAACAGCAAGAGTTTGGGCTGAACTTGGGGTCGTTCACAATTACAAAAATTTTCGCTAGTGTATAAAACAGTACTCTATTTCAGTACCCCTCCCTCCCCTCTCAAAAAACCATTCTCCATTTCTTTTGTGAAGTCAACTAACTATTGTATTTGGTTGCATAAAAATGTCTATTGTCTCCATGGTTGCATTACAATTGAACGTAAAAATATATTATTTTAAATATTGCATTTTATTTTGACATAACATTTTTATAAATATGAAAAATTGTACAAACTTGTCTAATCCTTTCCTTCTAGCAGCATACTGTTTTTACACTTGTGGAAAATGTTGATAATTGTGAATGACCCCTAATATACAAAATTTTCTACTAATTTACAATTCTCTTTCAACTAATTTATAATCTCGCCCCACAATTTATAAACACCTCCTATAACAAAGGGTCTTCCTCCTCTCTAAATTTCTCCCAATTAATTGACTGAAAAAACCCTCCAACCAAGTCTACGAACACCTCCAAAACACCTTACAAATCTCTCCCACAATGAGCAGAGGGGTAAAAGGAAATGCTCACAACATACTCTATCTTAAACATCTCCAGCAAGTAAAGTCTGAAGCATCTGAAATCTGCCTCAGACTCCACCTAGGCTCTGCCGCTGGACCTACCTGTGAGGACCTAAGCGGTCCAGACTTAAAGTGGCACTTTAATACCTTGTTTTACCGAACTTATTAGCAAAAATACAATTTCACTGATGAATTTAAACAGTGTATAGTAATGAGGTTGTTAAATGCTTTAAATTAAAGGAAAAATATCTTGTTTTGAGAGATCTTTTACGGGGAGCAGTGTGCAATTTTTTTTTGTCCTGAATTTCCATTTATTCGTGGCAGAGGATGAGCTATCTGGCCAAAAATAAAATGTTAATTTTATTCAAATTCAAATTATTGGCAAAATAAAGCATAAAAAAGAGTGGAGCAATTACAGTAGACTCCCCCGACTGTTGGCACTCATGCTTACATAAACCCAGTGCTGATATTGGCAGTTCTACCTATGTATTTAAAAAGAAAATAAATATAACAATTAACAAATAATAACAATAATACAAATTAAGTCTA